TTTAAATTTTTTTAGTTTTTTTTTTTTTTTTTTTTTTTTTTTTTTTTTTTTTAAATTCTCAAAACTAATGGAAAGCTGGAAATTCGAGGATAAGAAAAAAATTTACATTACATTTTTTCTCACATTGTGGACATGTGATTAGATAATCATTTTCTTGCGCAGGATCTCCACAGAACTTGCACACGCAATATGGACAATACCAGGAGCCTTCAGGAACCTCCTGAAATTTGCATTCGCGTTCATCAATTTTAGACATTCTTATCACATCTATCAAACTACAAGGGGAAAAAAGAAGAAGCCGAAAATATAAACCAAAAGATAATTTCCTTACCTCCATACCAACGCATACTTGATGGTAAGTGGAGTAACATCTTTCACAACAAATTAAATTCCCTCCATCGGCGCAAATCATACAAGCGTCATCATACAAGTCGATGGCATTACTTTTAGCTTTGATGATGTTAAATTTATGGTATTGAGATTCATCGGGCTCATTCCAGGCTTCAATCATGCAATTAAAGAGGGATTGCTGTTTCTTTGCAAGAAATATGCTTTCATATGGTTTTTTGCAATTCCTTCCACCGTGAATATGAAAGGCTGCTGCTGTGAAGATGTTGTCACAGCAGGGACACAATATGCCCCCTCTCTTGATTATTCCCTTATTTTTCATTTGCTTGCTTCTATCATCAACAGAAAATACTTCTGCATTTTCTTGAATTATATTGGTGTCTATTAGCCAAGAAAATACGGTTGCCTTCATCTTTCCTTTCTCATTCTTATCATCTGAGCTTCTTTTTCTTCCACCAGCACATCTCGGATTCTCATAATCATCTATTGAACTTCTGTTACTTGTAGATGCATACAATTGTTTACACTGGTGAATTTCAGAATCGGATTTCCGCCTCCTTCTAGACGTGAAACGTCTTGTCCTTTGAGCACAAGAATCCTCATCATCTATCAAAGATGGTTTGTCTTTTGCTATTTCTGTATCATATTTTAAAGACTCTCTTATTTCGCGGTTACACTTCTTGGAAGAGCGTCCCCGTTTCCTTTTCAGTTGAGAAGAATTATTCTCTATCTGTACGTTCTCTGTCTCTCGATCACTATGTGAAGTGACATCATTTTGCTTAGACCGCCTCTGAGAAAATTTCGAACCATAATCAGGGTCAGATACATTTCCTGAACTACTGGAACTTGAACAGCTGCTCTGATTCATCCATCTTTTCGATTTCCCTGCCATTTCCAATTGGCACAAGCATCGCACAAATATTGTGGTAATTTTTTCCAGTGAAAGATAAGGAAGAATTTAAGACGAAAGTAAATGACATCAGATGCCAATTTTTATAGACAGTTAACGCAATTATGTGTTTAAAAGTATTTCTATTCTAATTCGGATCTTGTTGATCATCTGCATACTTTTTTCGCTGCTTATAGAAGAATTAGAGAATGGTAAACGTGGCAAAAGGGGTACAATATCTTTCTTTTTCATTGGCACTGAATACCATTATAACTGCAATAATCATACTATTTTGGCACGCAAACCAGTCGCACATGTGGTGCACGATGACTGTAATCTTACCTATACTACTTTCAATGAAAGATTGAAAATCCTATCATATAAATGATTGAATTTTTCAAATTTTAATTCTTGCTAGTAATAGCGATGATCATTGAAAAACTCGAAAATGCTGTTGCTGAGGCGAAAATTGACACTTCTGATTAGGCTCACCCCGACTGGAGCCTAGGCTAGTCCCAAGATTTACATGGCCTGACAGACCTCGAAACACCTTGTTCATTTCAGTTCATAAGAATTGCCCTCCATTTGTGTGTTCCATATATTGTTTAGACAGCATCTAAGACCATCTCAAACATAATGGACAGTCAGATTCATTTTTCGAACTGCCTGAGCTTCAGCATCGTCTATTGTTAGAGTTTCCTGACAATGTTCACTTCGCACAAGCATCGCATAGTAATGTTTTAATTTATTCTAATTAAAAAAGTCTTAGATCCCTTCGTGGACATAGGCAGATTCAGCACATAGTCTTTGATTACTGTCCCGTGGATAAATTACCATGATAAAGAAGCAAGCATTCAAACTTATGATAAGTAGGCAATACTAATTACTAAAGAAAGTGGTTTTAATTAGGATGTCACCTTTGAACTCAAGGCAAAGAACATTAAATTTCCCAAACAATGTTACACCAAATTTATTGTCACCATCATATTTGAATTAAAAGACTTCCCCGATTTTCATTCTATTATCCTTGACAAATTTCTTCCAACCATCTTCGAAAAATCAAACTTCCCCAATTTTTGTTAGCTTCATGGCTAATTCTTGGGAAAGGTGACTTTCGGATAATTAATCTTCACTTGTTTTCCCTAACAATGTGGATATGTTAGCGAATGCCTTCGCGTCCTCTTCCTATGAAAAATTTACAAACGCATATATCCTTTTCACCATCTTGCCTTTTCAGCCATTGAATAACATTATAACTGCAATGGTCATACTATTTAAGCGCGCCAAGAACATCAATGAGAATCATAATTCAAGTGGATAAAACAAATAACATGGAACCAAGACATTACATAAAACGATATTTAGTTGTTTTACCACATTAATGTCAAAATATCCCCTACATTTTCTTTTTCTTTTATAGGAGTTCATGAAAATGAAATAATTAGTTATATGATAAAATTAAAATCAATCCCATCACCTAGAGTCATAGACACTAAGATGAAATTAATATTAGACAACAATTTATTTAACCTATGAAGGCATAAAATATATGAAATCTACACATTAAAAATAAAATTCATCCATAACATATTATAACTGCACCAAAAGGGTTTCACAGATAAACCCTACATCAGAATTTGTTAATTTTGCTGCAAGGGTAGAAGAACATTTCTTGAAATCGAAGTACCTCTATGAGGGAAAAGGCTCTTATTTTTTGTAACCGCAATTACTAATTTTTCATTTGGAAAAAAAAGAAAGAAAGAAAATCTATCTCATTCAAAAAAGAAATAGAAAGGCATAGATAAGAAACGAGATTTTTTCTACAAGTATTTGATATCCCAAACAATGTAGAATCAAAACTCATATACCAACAACAAAAATTCAAGTTCAAATTCATTCAATAGAGGCATTAATCAATCAGACCTTGTTCATAAAACAGTTTCTGGATGATACAGTTCTCAGTTTTGCTTCAAAAAATAATTAACATCCAAAAAGGTCATATAAACTTCCGAAATTTGGTGTGTAAACTCAAAATATTTCCATAAATCATCTCACATTTTTGTGAACTAATTCATCCAATAAGGCCTTCAAGTAAATTCCTAAAGCGTACATAAAAGTTCACCATCTAGCATTGTCCTCCTTCACCAAAACACGCCTAACTCATTACACAGACATCCAATCGACGTGATTCAAAATCTCAGTGTCAGGAAACTCATCAGGCTATCCAACCTTGCTTTCAACACAAAATAATATGAAACACAAGTCGCAGGACAGCCGTTCAAAGTTGATCCTTCATGCTGGAATTTACTGGACTGATTCACTTCCTGGTTCTAAGATTATTAAACACATCATATAATATAAAATTAATCAATTTCCAAGTCTCCAAATCACTGAAATATGTCAATAAAAATTAAAAATAGAAATACATACAAGCATTGAATTGTTTCAGCAATGTTCCAATGGATAAAAACTTATCAAAACATATATTTCTTGTCTTTATATCTTTAATGTCTGCAGGGTCATCATCTCCACCATCATGCCTCCATCCACAATCAATTCTAATCTGTAGGAGAAAGGAAGAAGGATGTGTTTCGGAAAATTCAATAGTGGCACATTAATTCTCTGTGCAATCCAAAATTAAAGTTGAAATCACTGTAAACATTCGTACCACACATCATATTCCGGTGAGCTCAAGGGTACTGTTACCCCTTTTTTTTCTTGCATTCTTCAACCATGAAGATTAAACAAAAATTCTTTCTTTCTTGTACTACCTAATTGGTTATATATTTCTTTCTAGTTCGGATGGCCGTAAAATATTCTTTTAGCATGAACTATTAAACAATAATTCCCAACCATAAGAAGGGATTTAATATGAGTGCACATAGTATTCCTACCTTCTTTTCTTTTTTTATGTATGAAAAGAACATGAATATCTTGAATTACCTTCTTGACTTTTTCTTTTTTGTATGTGTAGAGGAGAGGCCGAGTTTGAGAGAGAAAAAGAAAAGGGGTCGTGTGTATTCTTCCTGTACGAGATGCTCGCCTATTTGCATGGGTTGGTTGGCTGCTCGCTCACGAGGTGAAAAAAATTAGAATTTCATTGAAATTTAAAATAATAACATAATGCGACTTGCCCCAAAGCAAGCTGGTGGGATGAGCCGAACCACAAAATTTTGAAACGAGATGGCTCATACTAGCTCGTGTGGTTGGTCAAGCTGAGCCCAAATGTCTACAAGTCGAGTCAAGGGCTAATAAAGAACCGCCATGGACGATTTTCCATGCAGAGATGTTGAAAAAATTAATTATAATTCCTCCTGTGTGATTCTAGTCCAAAAATCCTTGGGCTCTTGAAGTTGGTTTTTCTTGGTAACCTCTATCTTGTAAGAATAGCAAAAAGACTTGAGAATTTGAAGCTTGGAATCAAGGAAAGCTTATAGATGAAGAAAATGAGATTGGAAATTTGTATCAGTTCGATCCATGTTGTAGAGAGAGAATTAATCGTGCTCCAAGGATAAAATTTTATTCTCTTTTATGTGATTAATTAATTCGAATTAACTGAAATAAGAATCTAGTTAATTAGTAGATCTTGAGACCAAATTTTTCAAATAATTTTATTTTTTTATTTTTTAATTTACGTCTTCTTGAACTCATTTTCCAAGAGTAATGACTTCATGGTATTTATCAATACAATTTTAATAATTGGCATCTCTATTATCTTTTTTATTTAAATAAATGATTGTGTATAATGAGTATAAACAGTAAATGGATTGATGGAGGATCACGATGAGATTCATCAAATCACATTTGTAAATAAAAATATATCCTCACATTCGTAGACTTGAGTATTGATACTGTTGGGAATCTATTTAACATGCGTAGCGGAAAATTAAAACAGATTTCGATTTCTACCAGGAATCTCTTTGTGTTTAGATAGAAACTGTGAAAAGATTATACATTTCAGATCTGCAAACTTCTTTGTTATTCTTTTCGTTTCTGCAATCTTGATTCGCCAATCACAGCTGTCCAATTGTTCAGCCTCCAACGGTAATCCACATAGAGAACAAAATTGTAGGATTAGAGTTTTCTTCTTGTGCTAGCAAGAATAATGAAAAATCACTCCCAATTTGAAAACCTTAATCATATTTATATAAGGTGGAAATTACAGAAAACCATACTTTTAAAATTGTGAGTTCTAAAATCAGATGACAAGTTTCACCTTTTAAATATCAAAAATATCATATTTAAATATTAAATATTAAATATACAATTTTCATCCCAAAACCTAAAATTATTTCCACCATTTTTCCCGCTCTTCGTAGCCGTCTCCCCCTCCACCATTTTCTCCCTCTCTTTATCTTCTCTCCTCCCTCCACCACAACCACTCATGGCATCACCGCCACTCTTTCCTCGCACCACTGCCACTCACGACGGCAGATTGTGAACTGATTCCAAGCAATAAGCTTCTAGTAACAACTGTACATGGAGGATGGGATTCCCAACAATACTTTCGCCACCCAACCCATCAGAGGCGACCAAAATCAAGCTTAACGTTGGAGGCAAGCTTTTCGAGACTACTGTCTCCACCATCCGATCCGGTGGCCGAGACTCCTTATTGTCTGCTCTTTCAAACCGATCGACTCAAGACTCGATGTTCATAGATCGGATTAAAGATCTTCTCCATCTTCCTCTCTCTTCTCCGGTCCAACCACATTCCTTCCACCGCCAAACACTTCTCTAATCAAGTTAATTGGTTGTTTGGTGGTGGTTAATTGGTTATTTGGTGGTGGCAACCGAAAAATTTGGGGAAAATCGGGCGCTAAAAATTTTTAGTTGAGGTTTTGTTGGTTGTGTGCAGTTGTGGTGGTGGTGTTTGCCCCGTGCTTTGAGGCGGTGGTGATGTTGGTGGTGCTAGTTGTTTTTTGGTAGATGAGAAGGAAATGGTTGATTTAAGTTGGTTGTGTTGGTAAATGTTGAAACATGCAGTGGTGGTGGTGGTCGCAACG